TAATTAATTATTATTGCTGTAATTAATATAAAAAATACCTTTCCGGAAAACTGGTGTCAGAATAGTGACTGTTTTAACCCGCACTTGACAATCTTAGGGGTACTGCAAAATCTTTCTGAGGTTTTTAGGTCTCCACCATCTCCTAACTGAAAATATAAGATTAATTTGTCAGTAATTTTCTGCAAAAAGTATGTGTTCCATAAGTAAGTTCCATAATGCTCAAAGAAGCTAACAAAGGAAGCATATTAATGTATAAATTATTAAAAAAAGGTAGAGTACCTGAGTTAAGTGAGAACACAATCATGTAAAATTAATGTCTAAACCTTGTATTTATCTACCTGAGATGGGATTTAATATTCTTTGACAATCGGTATGTCTATGCTTTCACATTACATTTGTGAATCGACACACCAAGTTCTAAAATAATATAAGTTTTTTAAAATCTAACTATCAAATACATATATAAATTTTATTATTATTCTTACGGAATCTATGTTTATCCAGGAGACAATTCTCTTCTAGGTAAGGATTCCCAACAATCGGGTAGGGCATTAATTTTTCAAATTTGTCTTCGAAGTTTTTGGCAAATTTTCAACTTTTACAAACATTTGTAAAGTGCGCATCACCGAACATAACAACGTTTGCCACAATATAATGGGAGTTAAATCGTCCATTAAGGATTATTCGTCCTCTGCTGCCAACCCAATTGAACAACATCTAAAACATTTCATTATATTTTTATTATACAATTTATTATATAAACACAATACATCATTATATACATACCTGATCATTAGATGCCGGAAAGACATGCAACTTTATATTATTTCTGGAGTTACCACAATTTGGTTCATCTACACTGCACTTTGCCATATTAATTTGATAATAATTCCTTGAACACAATTAATTATAAACAAAATACTTCACAACGTAAATAAATGCTTCACTACGGCTTCATCATCACCGGCTTCACTATATAAGAAGGTAAAATGGCGATTAATTTCCGCTCAGCCCATCTATTTTCTTTTCGATTAATGAGATTGAAACAAGTAGCGACATCTTTTTTTCGCTAAAATATTAATCCTCGCCAAAACAGTGTAACGAGCATTTGTGTCGGAGATAACTCCCCATGTTGACAATCACAAAATATACACCTGGTGTACCAACATTAAAAAATGTGAAACGAATTAACGCCTCGATCTGTCAAAGTGACATTGACCCAGAGAATACTCATTCAGTGGTTTCCAACCTTTTCGAATGAGTTGCTGGAACTTGCCGTACCGTAACGAAATGTTCGAGGAATATTAAATGTTTTCAAATAAATTATTATTAATACTGCTATAAACATTGTCTAAACAATATAAATGACAAATATTTATAAGAATTATATAAACTAAATTGCAAAGATAAAATTATTCATTTAAAGTATATAAGTGAGCTTTAGAACTTTAGCAATAATTAAAATTAAAATCTGAATTATTTTCGATATACAAAAAAAAATTTTTTTGAAATAGTCACACACATAGAACTTACTTGATTACTTGAAACTTTTCAAAAAGTAGGTCAAAGAAAAATACTTAATTCATTTTCTATATCTCCTCGCAGAAATTTGAAAAATTTGTATAAGCTCAGTAGTATTTTACAACTATACACAAAATCATCCCCGAATCCAAAAAGAATCTAAAAAGCTTAAAACGTAATCAATAAGTTGAAATAACCAAAAAGACTTGGATTGGATATGGTTTATGTTTTCTGTAGAAAGTGTATAAAACTTTCAGACAAAATATAGACAACTAAATGGGGTTTTATTGTTTTGTGGTCAACACACAGCAGGGAATTTTTGGAATCATTCAAATCGGATGCTTCGTTCTCTCTCAAAATCTCGATTTGCATTTTCTGCATTCTTTGCTCCGCATCTCCGTAACGGCTGGATGGACCCTGCCTTGCAAAAAACTAATCAGCAAATCTCCCTATCAATAGGAATCGAATATTTTTGAACCAGTCAATCAAATCGGTTGATCGGGTTGATCCGTGCGCCCTCAAACGAAAAAATGCGGCATACAAAAAATAATTCTAATTAAAAGGTATGCCAAAATATTCAAAAGAAACCTTCAAAACATGCAAAAATTTTCATTTTAGATTTTCGGCCCATTACCATAACCATAGATAAATTACCCTATAGGAAGTCAATCAATAAACATTATTCATTTGCAATTGCAATATGCAACATCTATATTAAACACTAACGAATAAATTTTTAATTTCATTTTAATGTAAAATAATATAAGTAGACATACTTTATTTATGGATATCGATTACATTTATACAAACATATAAGAGTTGGTCTTAAGCAAAACAAAATTATGAAATTTGACATTGCAGTTTTTGACAAATATTAAATTACTTGAATATATACAATCAGTGCTAACTCGGCCAATACCTGAAAGTAAAGTTACTAAAGTAATAAGATGCATCTGTCATATAATATCAGTTCAAAAATCGTAGCAATATTTAATATGCATATTTCATATTATGCTTTCATGTGAGAAGTTAGCAACCAATGGGAATGTCTACCCATATATTGGGGAAAACTGAGATACGACGAGAATATGATAAGTTTTTCACTAAATAATATTGCCAAAACCCAGAGTGTACTATGGGGCTTTGATTTTATTTATATAATCGAAAATCATATAAATAATATAAAGATGAATGGTAAGTAGTATTATTGGAGATAATATAAAAACTTGAAAAAATAGCAAATTTTTCGAAACAGTTTGATAGCGTTCAGGTGTATTTGGGACGATCTACTCTGGTTACCTACTCCTCATATGATAAGTACACAGTGAAAATAATCAGTAAGCCAAACGTTGCACGAGTGCTGTTGTGTAAAGTTTGGCGTATGAAACTTTACATTAAATGTATTCCCAAAATCTACTAAAAGATTGTTGATAACATGCGATGAACAAATTAAACTGTCAATTATATTTATATCATAAATAACTATTATTATGAATATTATTGTTTAAAATGTAATAATATACGTAAACTATAATTACACATAGAAAAGGGTTCAGTATTTGCAACATCTGGTATAAAAAGAAGTTGTATGTTTTTCTAATATAATTGAAATATAATGCAGATCTAAGTTGCAGCTAAATTAATTTGTATAATTAATTATACATCTAAAATTGTATTCAGTATAGAACAATGGCAGTGAATTAGTTTCTCTTTGTTGCATATATACATTCAATGCACAATATTCATACATTTCCAGCTAGTTGAAGTATTTTGCTAGAAATAATTATTAATTGGGTTTCGATTATGAACCGATTACGCAATAAAAATTAATATAACATTTTACCAACTAAATTTTACAGACTGTCTCATAGATAAAAGAAGAGTATGGGTTTATTAAATATAAATCGAAATTATTTGGTGCATCAAATTGAATTCCGTTTTCAACATGTACATAACAATAATATATTTAATGATATTACTTGTTATTTATTCTCTATCCGGGTTGGAAATATATAGAAGAAATAAATGCTTATAAACAGACGGACATCTTTATATGACTAAGAAAACCGATTATTAAATGCTTAAAGTTCAGTTAAAAAACTTTGCAATAACATTTTGGCATATTAACAGCCATAATATTTGATAATAAAGATAATTGTATCAAATAAGCAATATTCTGTTCATATTACAGAAAATAGAGAAGAGTTGAAGAGGCCTTTTGCAATATTTCTTATGAACTATATTACTGTGTTGAATTTTATCATTTTCAGAAACATATTTCAGAGGATAAAATCCAATTAATTTGTATCTAAACTAAGTTTATAACTAGTTGGTATTGGTATACTGCCTTGAGGCAAGTTACATGAACTTCCCGATATGTGTAATTAATTGACCTAATCAATAAAAATAAATTAATTTATGGGTGATTAAAAGTATTCCAAGTGGATTTATTACATATAAATTGAAAGCGAACGAACACGTTAACTTGGAGTATTTTCTAAAAGCAAATGTTCAAAAATCAATAATTTTTATATTTGAATCAGTTTCCGTAGGACTTTAATGGTTTAGATTGTTCATTAAGACCAAGTACTCTATCGTTATACGAAGTAAATCGTCTAATTTTAATTTTAACAAACGTCAAAAAAAAAACACTCATTTTCTCAAACTTTGATTTTTTAAAATTAAACTACTTGTCGTAAGGCCGTAATATTTCAATCAGTTGTATAAGACCATAATATATATCATCAAAAAAAGTTTCATTAAAATCGGCTCAATTTTTTTTTTTCAACAACGAATTATAAGAAAAAGGCACGGTAGATTTTTACCTAAAACTAATCAGTATCATTCCCAACTAATATCTTCTGAACAGTTTTTGATTTTTTAAAATCGATTCGGTAATATGAGCTTAAATTTGGACGAGAGGTTTCTAATACTGTCAGATATTATTTAATGATATAAAAGAATAGTAACATATTTTACAAAACTAGAGAACTTTTGTAGACTGTTCATTTACTTTTTTGCTAATACCAAGGCATTTCTAATTGATTTGATTGAGTTATCACATCACAAAAGTGACTTTTGACATAAATTTTGACTTTATTTTTTCAAACTTGTATGAATTTTAAAATTTAAGCTACTTCTCATACGGCCGTATATGTCGGTATGTTCTATAAGACCATGATATCTATCGTTAAAAAAAGTTTCATAAAAATCGGTTTTTCTTTCAACATTTAATTACAAGAAATTGTGCCAGGGAATCTTTACCAAAAACTAATCAAGTCGTTTCCCAACCATCTTTCGAATGGATTTTGAATTGTTAAAATCGATTCAGAATTGCGGACTAAAATGTGAACAAAATTTTTTTCACTTTTCTGCGATTTACAAAGAAACGGCTTGGCCTACCGTCGTGCAATACTGACAAACAATAGTCCTCATAGAGAGAAAACGTCGATTTAAGGTACACACACACACTTTTTCCAAATTTGGTCTCATTCAATTCATAGTGGCTGTCGAGAACATATAAAATTAGCGAAACGATTTTTTTTTATAAAACAGACTTCCCTAAATAAATAAAATTAAAAATAGTCAAAGTTTTAATTATAAAAGAAGATGAAGGGAGGGGTTTCAAAAATTGGCAGCCAACCATCCCCATGATTTTCAATTAATTTTTTTTTTACAAAATAGTTGGTATCTATAAAAAAATTACATGTTTTTTGATATTATCGAATTTTTAAAATAATAAAACAGGAATTTAGATATGAGCCTAGTTCATACTGAATAGAAGTATAAAAAAAGACTCTGTGAAAATTAAAGTAAATCAGCCTACTAAGGAAATTGTGAGTATCATATAGAAAAGATAGTTTGAGAAAAACCCGAAGTTAAAGTTTCGCGGCGGTATAAAAAACAGAGGAGGTTATCGTGTTCAAACTGCAATAGCTACAAAAATAATTTAAATTTAAAAAAATCCTCTTGCACACATCTAGACCAGAATACCCTCAGTATTAACCCTTATCGGTTGCTAGCTTTTCATATGTGATTCCCAATAGGTCAAAGCTGATTTCGGTAAATACGCGAAATGTCTATGTTCGCTAAAAAATTTTTTTTTTCATTGAAAGATGTTGACTTATTGAACATAGAACAAGAGGCTGTTTCCATTATTAATTATATTTAGTGAAAATGATAAAACTCAATTATAAACTTCTACTATATAAAGTGTTTGAATAATAATTTGACATGAAAATTGTTCATATACATGTTGTACTTAAAGAATAACATTAACAACTCTGCTACAATTCTTGAACGCATTAAAACGAAAAGTTGTATCTACGGATAAAATTATTATTATTATTATTATTTATATCTTAATCTAAGCTCTGCTTACTAGTATATCTATGCTTATCAATAAGTTCAGTGGGATGACTTACCAGAGCTTATTTAAAATCTTACATTCTAACATAAAAAATCTGTGTTTAATTATCACTTAATTACTTAACAGTCACAATAAATCTTTGTCATTAAATTTTTAATTACAAAATGCATCATTGCATTATCTCTTATATCGTTTAAACATCTATAATGTTTCTCAAATATTCTAATACACAAACATCATCTTTTTTTACCAAAATTAACATTCTTACTTATTAAAAAGCTTACAATATATAAGCCAAATATTCACAAACAATGATTTGTAAAATTTAAAAATAAAGTATACTTACTATTAAAATATATTAAATCTTTATACTTACAGATTCTTCTCAATTTCTTTTATTTCATACAATATATCTAGTTTCCTAGCAACTTTGTCTAATTGATCTTTTTCAGGACTTTTTAATTCTCCTGATAATAATCTAGCTTCAATTGATTCTATTTCTCTAATTTTTTTCTTAAGATTTTTCAGCCTTTTAACAGGGTCAGCAGCTGGAGTATCATTAACTTTTGTTTGTGCTAGATCTGATGCCAATTTATCAACTGGGTCCTCTTTTTTCTTTTTTTTCTTTTTAGTCTTATCTTCCAATATAACCAAACCTGGTATTGGGCAATGGGCATTTGGGCCAACTTTTTTATTTTTAGAAGCCAATGCAACTTCTGGAGACATTCCAACAGGTAACTGCGGTTTTCGAGAAGCAAATTGCTTACCTTGAAATATTTTGCAATATTAATAAACTGACATAAAAATAATTTAAATCATAAAAAAGAATAGTTAAAATGTATTTCATACAATAAACAACATATACCAACTTTTTGTGACAAGTATATATATAGATCACAAAAACAATGCAGAAAATAAAACCATTATTCATTGATTGATAAATGGTTTATAGAAAGATTTAATGTAAAACATGTAATGCACATACAAAATAAAAAACAATTTTACATAGACAAAGTATTGTCTTTTTCGTTTTGGAAGAAAATAAATTTTATTTTGTTATTAGTATTCAACACACCTTTGCTTTCATATAAAGGTACTTCTTCTTGCGGAATATATCCATCTTTCACTCTTCGAGGTTTCCGCCATGTCCCATCAGGACGCTGAGTGGCTGGTATAAATTTACCTATTCATATATAAAGTGTGTGCATTATTTATCATCACTAGTCATATAAATATAAATAAATACATACATAAATACAAATATATGATTTTAGTTTATATATAGAAGGATTTTTTATTATAAATGAACCTAATATTAAGTATGCGAATATGAATACACTACAATTGGTAAAAAGTGTAAAATTAGAGTGCAGTGTGTTTTTCAGTTAAGCAAGGTTAGTGCAAATATTACATTGTGTTCATATTAACATAATTAATATATATGTATAAGAAAACATCAATTTAATATTCACACCTTCACTATCCTCTGCATAAATGCCATTAATAGACATTTTGACTTTTTGGTCAGGTACTTTAGAAATGAAAACTATGTGATATTTTCAATTTCTTATATTTCCTGAAATTCACATCTAATTTCGATTTTTAAACCACAAGTTTACGGAAAAATCTATTCAATTTTAGAACACCAGTTTTAGTTAGCTAATCGTATTTCTGTTCAAACAAGGTTCAGATAAATCAAGTTACATTTCCAAATATGACATTTTACGAAAAATCGAAGAAGCATGCTTTTATCGTAGAGTGCCAGTTGGCTTGTGTTTGCATAGAAACTCAAGGCGCTCAAGGCGTAGATAAATAAAGGTACTACCTCGAGCGAGCACAAACGAACATGTCGAACAAGAAAGCAAAAGGTGCTCCACACCTAACGAACGAACATGTCAAACAAGAAAGGTGCGTCCACACCTAACGAACGAACACGAACGAACATAAAAGAACGTACCAGAACGAACGGCAACAGCATAGTGTGGCGCCACGACGATCACGAACGAACATAAACAAACATGGCGAGCAATGTTCCGCAACTTGTCGGTACATCAAAGGGAATTGTTCGTTCATGTTTGAACTCGTATGTGCAGTGTGGACGTCTCAACGAACGCAAACGAACATTTTTGTTTTAATAATTTTAATAATTTAGTAATAATTTTTTAATAATTTAATAATAATGTTAATAATTTAATAATATTTACTTTTAATTATTGTGTACAGTTTGAAAATTTTGAATAAATTATGGAATGGTCAAATGACGTAATTTTATCATTCATAAATGAAATAGAAAAGTTTCCTATAATATGGGAGACTAAAGACCCTTTTTATAAAATTATTAGAAAAAAAACGATGCTTGGGAAAGTGTAGGCAAAACGTTTGGGATGTCAGAAGCTGCAGTAAAGAAGAAATTGCAGTCTTCACAAGTAAATATTAAACTTGTTATCATACATAGACATTCAACATATATGTTGAGGATGAGAGTATGAAAATTGAGTATAGTTAGCTCAAGCCTGGAATGTTCAGCTTGCTCCGAATATGAATGCTGAGGAAAGAAAACGACTCAAAATATAAATATTAAATACAAAAACTGAGTGAAATTAATTGAATAATTTATTTACAGTATATTTACAAAATATACACGAACAAAAATCACACAAAAACCAGTGAAATGCCGTATGATTAAAGCTTACATTCATATCAATAATAAAACTGGCGTTTCACGGAACATCTACGAACAACGAAAATTCAAGCGCTCACTGCTTTTAAGCGCTTGTTCATAGATAAGTAAACATAACTAGATCGCTATCTGAGGCCATTTGACATTACCGCCATTTTAATATTTTTAGCGATCTAAAGGAGGCAGCACTTGTTCAGTATATAAATCAACCGCTGGTATTATTCCTAGATATGGTTCGCATACGTAATTCAAAATAAGAAAACCTAAATAATTTCTTATATTGGAAATGAGAAAAAAAATATACGAAGTACAAAATATATTTTCAAATATATCACAAACATTTTTACATAACAATTAAATTTTTTATATAAATGTAATAATCAATATATACACAATAATAAGTATTATAATTTTACATTTATAAATAACTAAAAGTATTCACAATGGTATGATAAATTTACAAGGAACGATCAATATGATTTACTTAATGATCAATAATATATAACAGAGATTGTGTAGTTCGGAATAACAAATTCAGAAGGAATCACAAATAATGCAAAAATTTAAAAAGTTAAAAAGAACAAATAACTTGTTAAAAAGTACAAATACTTCATAAACAAAAAATCATAAGAACATAATATAATATATTATAAATAATATTTATATATATATAAATATATTGATATCAAAATTGAGAGTAAACTGAATTCCTAGGATTAAAATTCATTTACGAGACATTCTTCTTTATTAACTCTGCATTTAATAGTTATTTTGCTATCTAATCAATCATTAATAAAGCTGCATTTGACGAAATCTTTGAATAGATTCTATATGAATGTTTTTTTAAACATTACATTCAACCGTGTCATGATCATGATGAAAACGTTATCATCAAAATTGCCATAAAAGATCAAAAAGTATCAACATTGTGTTTACTATGAACAGAAAAAAGTTTTATGCACGTGCAATTGTTCATCTACATCAACAATAAGAGATTTTAAATCAGAACTATTAACCCCACCTTCAGAAAAGTAAAAAGACAACACAAGACATCCTGGAAAACGTCCACAGGATATCCACGCGCGGACATTCATTGTCCCTGCGATAGCCTCACGGATATCCCGCTTATCCTGATCTTATCCGAAACATGTTAATATGTCGCACCTATGGGACGTTCTGTAGGATATCCCGCGCGGGATATTCCGGACATAAACCGGACATGAATAGGATATAATTATGGAATTGTTTCTTACTTTTTAGATGAAAAATAAATTTGGATTAAAAATAAAATAAAAGAATACAATTTCACAAAGTAAACTTTTATTACAAAATAACAAAATCCTGAGATAATTTTATAACAAAATTTAATATATACAACTTTAATTCAAAATAACTTATTTTACAATATTAAAAATATAATTAATTCGGCATTCAATCCTAGTTCATGGTTGATTTTCTCTCCTGAAATAGAAAACAAATGAATAAATGCATATATATGTATTATATATATATATGAGTAAGTTCTTTAAGAGCGATACATCAATCAAAATAGACAGAGATTTATAAAATAATCTCTAATTCCAAATATATCGACACAATTTGATGTCATTATGAGTGAATATTAAACTTGGTTTTTTACATCTAAAAATGTGTACACAGCACAAATTTTGCACTAACATTGATACAACTAACCAGTCAATAATCATGATTTTTTTGTAAATAGGAAAAACATATAGTACACATCTCACAAAAATACCTTGTATAATATTTATTGGCACGTCGCAGCCAGCTTTTTGCAGCCTCTGAAACAGTAAACTATGTCTCATGCGGCAAATTTTTCAAAGCAATTCCTGGAATTAATTATATATTAGTTTAATTCATAATTTACAACACATCATAAGTATAAGATATATAAATTACCTGTGATGACATCGCAAGGCACTAGATCACAAAATTTATTTTTGCCCTTTCCTCGTCCCTAGCAAAATTCTTTGTCCAAACCATCATCAAAAATGGATTTTCATAGCTGAACTCTGATGGCTAAATACAGAATATAAAGAGAAAGTTTGTTTAGTATATGATAAAGTTAACAAATAAAAATAAATTTATATAAACTTTTGATTACCAATTGTATTTGATATCTTTGCTCAGAAGAATAGCCTCATCCATAAGTTGAAGCTCCTCCAACAAACATAGTGGAGAGCATTTCTTCTTTGTTAATTCTCTTTCAAACACAGCATTTGATACAAAATTAGGCATGGCTGCTGGATAAGCTGGCAGGGTAGAAATGTCAGCATTAAATTAAAAATTCTATTTGTACTAGTAACATAGTATTTCAAATAACAGTACACAGAAAGCTTTAATTACCATCGTTGATATCTGCCCCCCTTTCAATATGTTGCTGCAATATTTATAACACACACGCACATATAATTATATAGAACACATAAAATTTCCACTATTATTACTCAATTTTAGAGTATTTTGATAAATAATATTAATTATTTATAACACACGCTCATATAATTATATAAAACAAATAAAATTTTCACTATTATTACTCAATTACTCAAAAACTATGATAATTCCACATATAGCGTCTATTGATAACGCTTAAACCTTAAAGGACGCTCCATGCCTACAGCCGACGCGACGAAAGAGAAAGGGACAAACATATACGTTTAGAGGTCTCAAGCCGTGCGCGTATGCGAGCGACATGTTCGTGAACCCGTGCGTTATACCTGCTCGAGTCCTTTGGTTTGAGACGTCCCGTTGCATATTCATAGGATATTCATAGGATATCGCGATATTAGGAGATTGTGAGGACAAGTGGGACATTCCCTGGCATGTCTTGTGCTGTCTGGGTGGTTGCTTCCAACGATTCTTCACTCCTTTAATCATGAAAACAAGTGCATGATCCGGAAATAAACATTTTCTGCCATTTGCTAACTCTACAAAACCAACAATGTGATCCTTTTTACGATCATATGACAATTCTGAAGATAGTGATATTTCATCAAACATCAAAACACAGTATTTGCTACTCTCATACTTTTTATGAGAAATAGCTGAACTTAATTAAAAAGACACTCATTTATACCGCTATACAAAGGTATCTCTGAAAGCAACTTTCTCAATGTTTGAGGAGATGGCAAAATAAATATTTGTCTCCAAAAGTAGTAAGCCTTTGGAGACTTTTTATACAAACTTAAAGCAAGAATTTTGTCCTCGTCTGTGAATTTTCTTCCTTTCGGTCTTTTAGTATGCTCTCTTAATTGAGACAATATAAAATTTCTTGCCCTTACATTTAGTGTTTCCGGAATATTTGAAAACTTTTCAGAACATTGTATACTTTGTTGCAATTTATCCCTTAAATTATTACATTGTTTGTTAATTCTTCTTATCTCCCAGAACAAAATTTTGGATGTATCATACATTTTACACCTCCTGGTGTAAAGCAACAAAAAGAGTTAAAGCACTTCTACGTTTAATCAGTGAATACTGAAGCAATTTGCAGTTACCTCCTAGGACATCTATTAAATATAATAACATGTTGTAATATCACAATTGATTAATTAATTATTATTGCAGTAATTAATATAAAAAAATACCTTTCCGGAAAACTGGTGTCAGAATAGGTGACTGTTTTAACCCGCGATTAATTTCCGCTCAGCCATCTATTTTCTTTTCGATTAATGAGATTGAAACAAGTAGCGACATCTTTTTTTCGCTAAAAATATTAATCCTCGCCAAAACAGTGTAACGAGCATTTGTTCGGAGATAACTCCCCATGCGCTTGTTCAAGTTCGTTTGGAATTTTTCGCGTTCGTTCGTGTTCCTGTTCGTTCTTCTTTGTATTTTCTTGTTCGACATGTTCGTTCGTGTTCGTTCGTTAGGTGTGGAGCACCTGAAAATACAAAGAAGAACGAACACGAACGCGAATAATTCCAAACAAACGCCTCAAAGATTTGAATCTTTTTGTTCGAGGATGTTTCGTGAAACGTCAGATTTATTATTTAAAGCGGCGGGAAAGAGAAAAATTATTTAAAGTGATCAAATCTACAAAATTCATCAATAACAGCAGTATCACATACTAAATACAACAAAAACTAATTTAGGACTGCACATATTAACATCAAAAAAGAAAAATGTTTGTCTACATTTGTGGTAGCATCCCTAGACAATACTAGAATACCTTGTGTTCGTACGCCTAGACAATATTAGAATACCCCGTGTTCATACGAACCATTTTCTTTGATGTACCGACATTTTATACTCTTATTTTATCTAATGTTTTCTTTTCTTGTTGCATTTTTTGTTGATTTTGTAAAACAATAAGCACATTTTATGAAATATTATCCCTCTTAATTTTGTATTTTTATTTTATATTTTTTAGTATATTTCTAGCGTCGTAATTATTAAGGTATAATTAAGAAGTGCGTCCAACCTGAAAAATTATATAATTTTAACACATTCTATTAATTCCTAAAAATTATACTTAACACATATTTTAAACATAACAGGATCTAGTAAAAATGACAAATTGATAAAAATAAAAATGAGGACAAACGCAATATAACCGCTTTATTTGGGATTCCATCGTTTCGTGAGATTTACCGCTTTTTCGTCTGATAATGGTCGTGTGATATTTTCATCACAAAGCTATTCCTTTTTTTAACTCTTTTTTTTTTTAAGATTTTTCGCTTTTAGAAGTTTCATAAAATATCCTCCAATTTTCTTTTTAAAATTTTCAAAAAAAATATTATTCAAAAATTTTAAAATTAAAAAAAATTTTTTTGAAAATTTTCAAATTTAAAAAAAAAAAATGTTTTTCCAAATATTTCACAATCTAAAAAAATATTTTTTAAAAAATACCGAAGAATTCGAGAATGTTAATATTACGTTAAAATTATATTTTAAAATTTTAATTTTCATTTAACATAAAGTTTCAAGTTTCAAAAGTTCTAAAGCTCAATGATATACTCAAAAAAAAAACTTTGCAATTCAGTTTTGTAATATTTATAATTTTGTTTTCACATTTTTTTACATCAATCTTAGAAATATGAGATTAGGTTCTCTAATGCATGCTGAAATATGATATAAGGCCCCACATTCTTATTGTAACTGCGATTAAATGTTGTTTATTTACTTTTCTTGCAAACATGTCGTTGTCTAATTATAAGCTCTTATTTTTTATGCATGAAATACAAATAATGAAAAATACAGTACAGTAGAACTTCGTTTATCCAGCCCTCCGGATTCGCCATTATCCGGACTACCAACACGGACCAATTTCTATGTATAATATGCATACCTAGAATTCGGATTTTTGAATGATTAATGCTGCAGTTTAGGATATGTATGTAATGTAATTTGAAAAAATATATATGTACATACATACGAAAGTTTTAATTTCTTACATTAACAACTTACATCAACAACAATTTCTCAACATTATTTTTGTTGATATCTATGTATTTGTTATTTTTAATAAGAAATACATACATATGATACACAATATTATTCTTCATATATTTGATTATCGGAATGCCTATTGACAACAATTAGACTAGTTAATCGAGTTTCTACTGTACTTATTGATCTATTTGGAAACATTTAAAATGATTGTTATTAATTATTGATTAGTAACTAATTTTATTCTAAGAATGTTTAATTATAATACAAGAAGTTTCAGAAATTTGCCTTAACTCTCACAGGCTTCCTGGTACGTGCAATGTACATATACTACATATAGTGAATACTTATGTACATTTGGTACATATAGTGTACCATAAAATAAATATATGTATTTCTTATGCTTGCTGCATGGTGATAAATGTACCGCTTTCCTTAGTGCCCATGTTGAAGAGGGCTTCATTTATTTTTTTTATTCTTATAATACATATTCTTAAAATAAATATTAAAATATTTAGTTTAAAATTTTATAGAGCTTGCAGCTTGGGTCAAAAAGCGCTTTAATTTTTTGGCATGTTGCCACGTACCACTAGTTATTTTCTTCCTATTAGATAATTTTTCATTTTTATCACCCTACATGCCTCGATTTATAAATACTCAGACATTAACCATTAGCTTAAATTCAAAGTGTTAACTAGGATCATTCACAAGTAAAATAACTATCTATCATTAGATTCTTGTTCTAGCTTATCAATTTCATATAACCATCTGCTAACTGATAGCAATGTCGAAGCAGTGCACTCAACAGATTTATTTGCAAATTTGACTTCAGTTCCACAACACTTATTTTTGGCTTTTTTATATCTTACTAATCGCATACTTCCGGTCCCTTCTGGAATATAAACTTGAATCTCTGCATGGTTTTTATTATTATCGATAAAACTATTACATACAAATAAAAAGGATTTGTCTTGTTTTGATATATCTTCATGCCAAACTTGAACACCAACATCTTTTTGGATTACTGCACAACTGTTTTGAGATGCACAATGATTAATTCCAGTAACTTTATTTGGATTAAGGCTTAGCATATTGTATCGCTTCTTCATATTTGCTATTTTTTGCTTTTTATATATTTCAAACCTACGATTAAAATTACATGTTATTAACTTTTTTAAACTCAGTACATATTTATAAACGTCATGCATACAAATGTAGCATTTACATGTCTCGACTGTGGTTCTATTGGACACAAAATTTATGTGATCATTTATTACATTAAAAATTATAATGTAACATACATGCATTAGTATTTTATTTACTTATCATGCAACAGGTTAAAACTACAAAGATGTCAATATATTATTATAATTACTCTGCTAAGGCAATCTTCTCTTCTAATGGTGTATAATCATCTCGAGTCTTTATTGATGGAGCATATGCAGGATGTAAAAGCATGTTTGAAGGTTTCCCACCAATAAAGTGTAGAGAGCACACATGTGAATACTTACATACCTCCCAATTTTCACCGCTGCAAACAATTAAAAAATTATCTGTTATTATATACTGTAATTGTAAAACTCTGTAATTTTGTAAATTTTACTTGATATCACTGAGCCATTTAATCCACTTCGACCTACGATCTCTGTTAGAGAATCCAGATGGTAATGCAAAAAACTGAACTCTGCGTAATTCATTTATTGTTCTATCATATGTACTAAACTCGCAATCCTCCACAGCACAAGTTAATCTAGACAATCTAGGCATTTTTATTATCAAAAACCAGTTAGATGTTTAAAATAACCTTAAGATGAACAGAACAATCAATGAAGCATTAAGCAATTACAAATAGGTTTAATTTATAAACTAATCTTTTCGGCAAAGAAAATTCGAAAGAACGCCAATCAAATATAAAACAAATTTTAGTGGCTGACTTTTGAAGTGTTGACTGACACAACCAAACTGTCATTCTCAAACAAGTTAAGGTGCGCCCTCACCGACGAACGAACGAGCATGAAACACATGGACGAATAACAACAACAAAATACAAAAAACGAACGAAAAGAAGAACGAACACAAACACGACGCAGGCGAATCATTCCAAACGAACTTGAATAAACACCTCAAAGCAGTAGGGCTTGAATCTTCTTTGTTCGAGAATATTCAGTTTATCTCGTCAGTTTTATTATTTAAAGTGGAGGGAAAGGTAAAATTGTTTTAAGTGATCATATTTGCAAAATGTATCAATAATAGCAATATCACATAATAGTCACAACATAAACTAATGCAGGACAGCAGCACAACATCAAAAAAAAGAAATGTCTACAGTCTTGGCAGCGTCCACACTGCACATACGGGTTTCAAACATGAC